TTTGAAAAGGAAAACACATAAGTAATTCACTATAAAGATGTGTTGAGCAACTGAGGAATGGGCATGCTGCAAAAAGTGACTGTTCCAGTAATTAAACCACACCCCACGTGAATACCTGGGAGGGACATCCATGAAGCTGGCTACCATCAGGGCTGATGAAGGGGACTGTATCCATTGCTTCTTTTTTTTTTTTAATTTTTTTTGACAGGCAGAGTGGACAGTGAAAGAGAGAGAGAGACAGAGAGAAAGGTCTTCCTCTGCCGTTGGTTCACCCTCCAATGGCTGCCACGGCTAGCGCACCGCGCTGATGTGAAGGCAGGAGCCAGGTGCTTCTCCTGGTCTCCCATGCGGGTGCAGGGCCCAAGCACTTGGGCCATCCTCCACTGCACTCCTGGGCCACAGCAGAGAGCTGGCCTGGAAGAGGGGCAACCGGGACAGAATCCGGTGCCCCGACCGGGACTAGAACCTGGGGTGCCGGCGCCGCAGGTGGAGAATTAGCCTAGTGAGCCGCAGCGCTGGCTTCCACTGCTTCTATTGGTGTAGAACATCTGTCAGAAAGCATTCATTCCTCTCACCTTCTCCAGTGGTGTCAGGACTACCAATAGCCTGGCATGAGTTTGATGAGCTGAACACTGGAGGAACACGTATTTTCAAACTGGTCTGTTTTGTCCAATTTGTCTTTCAATGTATTTCCCACCAAGAAGGTGAAGGACTTGGTTCCTTTTAAAAACCCCCGAATGGTAACAAAGGATCAAGGAAAGCTATATAGATGCTGGAGTCACTCTCTTGTAATAAAGCTATTTGGTACAATGACAGAGGGGCAATGTGGGTGAACTGAGAACTGAATTAGTTGACACACCATGAAAAAAGTTTCCCAGGTAAATTCCTCCTGAATAGAAGACTGTTGTGGAGGACTCTGGCTCCCGGTATAAACAGACAGACTTCATCATCAGCTTTCCATGTTCCTTTAACCAAGAAGTATGGGGAGCTGGAGCTGGTAGTTAGACTAACAGGCAACCGAAGTGACAACGCAGAAAAACCAGGTATCCCCTGGGAGCACTGGCAACTAGGAGAGAGCTGAGGTCAGTATCAGTCAAAACAGGCACAAGCAGGAACAAACCATCAGCAGGCAGGCCAGAGTCATGAATAAGCCCCGATGAGGTGCTCTCCGTGGATGACAACTGTGGGGGCCGGCGCTGCGGCACAGTAGGTTAAGTCGCCTCCTATAATGCCAGCATCCCATATGGGTGCCACTTAGAGTCCTGGCTGCTTCACTTCTGATTCAGCTCCCTGCTAATGCACCTGGGAAAAGCAATAGAAGATGGTCCAAGTGTTTGGACCCCTGACCTCATGTGAAAGACCCAAATGAAGCTCCTGACTCCTGACTTCGGCCTGACCCAGCCCTGGCTGTTGCAGCCATTTGGCGAGTTAACTAGTGGAATGCACATTTTATCTCTGTGTGTGTCTCTCCCTTTCTGTCTGTAACTGTTTCAAATAAATAAATCTTAAAAATAAAAAAAGACAATTGTGAATGCATCACAAACAGGGGGAACTGCACCCCCCCCAGTTGTGATGGGAAAGAGCTGAATTCTGAGCAAAGACAGCCCACCTTATGGTCCTGGACTGGAACGCCACTTCCTTATTCCACTATCATGTTAAGTACACATACTTCCTAGGGTTACCAGAATGATAACAAAACCTGGGGAGCTTAAAGCAACAGAAATGGAGTCCCTCACCATTCTAGAGCCCTGCAGTAGAGATCAAGGTGTCAGAAGGGCCACACTCCCTCCGAAGGCTCTCAGGGAAGAGCCACCCTCACCTGTCCCAGCTTGCAGTGGCTCTCAGCAGTCCTCAGCTGTGGCAGCATCATTCCAAACTCTGCCTGCATCTCCACATGCTGTTCCCGCTCTGTCCTCCATCTCCCATGAGCACACTTTCACTGCACTTGACCCATCTGGGTGTCTAGCATGATCTCATGTTGATATCTTTATCTTAACCACATCTGCTAAGACTTGACTCCAAATAAGGCATGGGTATTTGCGCATGGACCTAACTTTGGGGACCACAATTGAATGCATTACAGTAAACAAAAATTAATAGCCTGATTTTTGGAAATTCTGTAGTTTTGAGGAAAATAGCTAGCTGGAAAAAGCATGTGCTGTGCTGAATAAAACCAAGTTTTTCTGCTTGTATGTTTCTATGAGGGGGCTTCTACTGCATTCTTCAAAAAGGGACTGGAGTGCTTCTGGCCTCTTCTACACATCACTCATTCACCTTACAGCAGGTGCTATGCCATGAATATGACTTGTCCCACACATCCATGCAGGATTTCTAGCCCCAAAGTTTTGTGTCAATGGCACTGAATGAGTGGAAACTTAATCTGTGATGTTCAGAAGCAGGGCCTATGCAGTGTAATTAGAGTGGAACTCCATGACTGAATCCTGGTGGCCTATAAAGGAGGAAAGAGACCACACAGACACAGACAGACGAATGCTGTCTCTGCCACTTGATGGTCTGTGCCTCCCCAGGACTCTGCCAGCAAGAAGGCCATTATCAGACAAGGCCTCTAGAACTGCCAGAACTGTTGGCCAAAATAAACGTTTTGTCTTTAAAAAGATAGCCTGCCTCAGGTTGTTTTGTTTTGTTTTGTTTTAATGTAACAAAAATCTGACTAAGGCAGGAGGGTCACGGACTCATTTGTCTGTAGAGACCGTGGAAAGTTTAACACCACTTGGACCACTTAACAAGTGTGGACAGACAGTGCAAGCCTGTTCCTCCTCAGAGATGGACCACTGGATAGCTAGGAGTTCTCTGTGGGCTGGGAACTTGCTTGGCCTGACTTTTAGGAACACAGTGGTGTCGATGAGTCCAAGTTCGAGAATCAGGGGTGGGGAACTTTTTGTCCACCAAGGGCCATTCGGATATTCATCACATCATTCGTAGGCAATACAAAATTATCAACTTCAAAATTAGCTTGCTGTAGATTTATTGAATTTTGAGTCCCGTCTGTGGTTGCCTTGGCAGGGCAAGACCAAATGGTTTCATGGGCCTTATGGGCCTCCAGGCCAGACTTTCTCCACCCCTAGAGGGGGGTCTCTACAAAAACGCTCTCTTTGACCTCAGGTCTAAAGCTGTGTTCTCCAGTACGGTTGATCAAAGACCCTGAATATGAAGGGTTTGTGCACCACCCTTGTCCAATAATATATCTGATGAAGCATTTGACAGTCTCTGGTTCTTAGTGCCTATTTTCAATTGCAGAAGAATTCATGGGGAGAAGAGAGGAGTAGAACCCTTAAATCTCCAAAGTGCCACTTTCCTATTTTCTCTGGTTTATGCATCCCTAACCATCATTCTCAGGCAGTACTAGTTTACTGGATCTTAGCTATGAAAACCAAAGAGGCATTGCCTAGAGAAGACAATTAGACAATCAAGATTTATAGGTGTGCGCTGGCAAACTAAAACTTAGAAAGTAATAACACATATTATATAATTCAAGAGGTGAACTGCATAATAAAAGTCTGGACTTGACAACAAAATGTCAACATAAAATCTTAAATATTTACCCAGTTATATGTTGACTGTAAAACATAAAGCATTTCCTAAAGTAAAAGAATAATTACTCCATAATAACGAACAACAAGAAACCTCTTAAATGTCTATCAATGGAAGTTAGTTAAAATGAATTCTGGGATGGTATCTCCATACTGCAGAGCAGCAAATGGCCACCAAAAAACAAAAGTCACATGATGTAAAAACAGAAGCTGCAGAATAATACATGGCACAGGTCCTCACTTTTGATAGAATAAACCATGTATTTCCGTATGTTCCAATTATTCTCCATCAATGAAATACCAGAAAAATGAAATGCTAGCTTCACACTGAGCTGCCTGCAGTGGTCACATCTGGGAAGGGCAGACGGCTTGCCTGGAGAGGGGACAGGTGAGAGGCAGCCTCACATGTGGGGATTTCTGTAGGTTTCTTCATGATTAGAATGCATTCTGTTATTACTTGAACAGTTTAAATAAGCATATCAGTTACTGTATTTTTAAAAAGAGCAACAGGCAGTCACTAGATCTCGGTAGAGGTTAGCAGGGAGGTGAATCGAAAGTGGAGCAGCCTGGACTCAAACAGGAACTCACGCGGGAAGCTGGTGTTGCAGTTGGCTTAACCTGCTGTGCCACAGCATAGGTCCCCAGAGGTAATTTTCTGATGAATATTTTCAATCTGTGGTTGAATTCAAGGATGCAGAACTTGAATGTATAAATAATTATATACAGAGTATTAATTTATTAACCACTAAGTAATTTCATTTCACAGATTCATTAAACAACTGGCAATTCTTCTTCAGAATTTTTATGTTTTTGCTGCTGTACAGGTCCAAGTTGCATTTAATAAAAGAGAAATTTCCTACTCACTCTCCCTTCCATCTTGACTCTTGCAGGCTTACCCCTGGATTCTAGCTGAAGTGAGTCAGTTCTGAACTCCGAGAAGCCTGATTGATGTAGGTGGAGAAAGCTCTGGTCATGACTGTGAGATTGAAAGAAGGAGCAACCTGACCCAGTAAAATCATCAAGACTTTGGGAGTCAGGTCCATCCATTTTAGGATTCTGGCTCTTTCCTCTTAATGAAGAAGCCCAGCAGAACAGTTCAATTTCACCAGAGCTTGGGAATTCATGGAGGAGGTGTGACAGAGCCAACAGTCAGCTAGGGCTGGGCCTGCCGTACAGAATGACTGAGCGAATGCTGAGCCTACTACCCACTGCCCCTGGAGGACAGGGAAGTCCATCTTGGTCTTTCATGAGTGAGAAGTTCTGTGCTCGAAAATGACAAAGGGTGGCAGAGACTAGAAACGATGCTTTACCTACCAGCTTTGTATCCTTGTGTCCTTCTAACAGGGACAGGTAAAAATTCTGCTTAGAAGCACCTGGTTAGAAGCACCACCTTCTCCACATGTTTCACATATGTCCAGGCTTTGGTGTTACTGCGACTGCCCCACAATCCACAAAATCTCAATTCTTTATTTTGTCCAGTGAAAGTCTGCTTTCTTGCCTCTTCTTTGTAGGCTAAGGCCAACTGCATGAAATGAGTTTCTAAAAGTACTAAAGAGGTAATACCACACTTTAATTCCAACTGTCATTTGACTAGTTTGGAATATGATCCTTATTAGTGAAGCTCTGTTATTCTGGCTTTTATTTCCTCTTGATCCCCACCAACTTTACGGCTATCTTCAATAGCTACTACACCTTCCTTCTTATTTATGGTTTCTGAACGCTGGCAACAGTGCTTGAAATTTTCCTGGGTGAGTCAGATGCTAAAATTAGGGCAGCCACTCTCTCTTACAAAACCCAAACCCTGCCCCACTCTCTCTTCTCCGCAGTTTGCTCCTGGGCTGCCAGCTCCTACAGCGCTCCCTTTGCCATCTCAAGTTTTCCATGCAGCCAACAGACCACGGTGAAGAGCTGTGAAGTGGAAGTAAATAGTCAAGTGCCAGCTGACTGGGCTACGCTCATAGCAGCAAAACTCAGAAGCTAAAAGGGCAGGTGAATGTTGGTCTGGCTTGCGGTAAGCATCAAATTGCATAATGTACGCAAAGTGCCTAAGATATCTCCTGGCACTTGGTGGTGACAGTGGGGGTGACAATAACTCATCTCTTTCTCCTTTTCCTTCTTTCTACCTTCCTCTTTCTGGTTCTCCTCCTCTCTTTCCTTTTCCTACTTCTTCTGTTTTCCCATTTCCTCCTCCACCTCCTCCTCATTATTGTATTAACATAAACAGAGCCATAATTACTGCTAAGGTGCTAAGCTAAGTGGTCACCCACAACATTGCATTGAATCTTAAAAATTTGTTGAGCAACCCTGATTGCAGCAAAGGCAATGATTAATAGTGAAGGCATTGAACTGTTGAGTCCAAACACTCAAATTTGAATCCTCACCTGACCTTTATTAAGGTTGGGCTCTGAGCAAATAATTTCTTGATAAAATATGGCATCTAGCTCACTAGGCTACAAGAAGTTTATGGGGAAGGGTACAGTGCCTGGCACACAGTAGAGCTTTCCTTCTTACCGCCCCCACTCTCCATCATCCCCTTTCACTGCTTCTCATCTACAGGCCAGCACTGTCCCATAGAATGACGGACATTTGGGAATTTCATGGGTGAGCTGAATCTGTTACGTCACATTTTCCAATGGCACATTCTTAAAAAGCAAAAGGGAGCAGGTGAGACTGACTTTAATAATAAAGTATAGCTAAACCAATGTATCCAAATATTGTTTCAACATGCCCAGATGTAACTAATGCCATGAAATGTTTTACCTCCTTTTGAAATACTATGTGTTTGTAATTAGGTGGGGGACTTCACCCTGGTGGTACATCTTGGGCCACAGTGGCCACACTTCTCTGGCTCCATAGCCACATGGGTTTGGTGATTATGGCAGCCTGTAGGCTAGTAACAAAGAAGGTGGAGATAGATTGGAGAGGGCTGGGTAATCAGTCCCAGCTTACCTGACTCACACAATCATGATTCAAACAATGTCCATCTAGAGCCAAAGCCTTCTGTGATTTTATAATAGCCACAGAAACAACTGGGTAGTGACTCAAGGGCCCACTTTTTTTTTTTCCTTCTAGGTCTCTTAATGAGATGATTATCAGATTCAAAGGGAGACTGGAGACTCACCCCTTCAAACTTGGCAGTTGTACCCCATCTCTCTAAACAGCTGCTGTCATAACTAACATGCATGTGCCTTTTTTTGTGTAGAGAGCCACTAGTCCCTCTTGTCCCTTAAATAAATAAAAGGTCAAATACACAGCTGAGCTCTGCCTCCCTCCTCCTTCCCGGCCAGAGGTAATCTCTCTCTAGAGGCTGGTGTGTTCTTTCTAAAGACCAGACTCAAGTCATCGTTGGCAAGTGTGGGAGAGCCCCATGGGAGTGTGATGACTAATCAGTGCTGGTCTCTGGGGACAGCTGGCCACTTGCTTATTCACCATAGTAAAGGACACATAAGCCTCAGTAATCTTTTCAAATCACTTTGAATTGCTTGGCTCAAATCCATGCACCTCAGTCCCACATCTTGTGCTCCCTGATCCTTGAGCCATTCTGAAAAGCAAGTTGGACTGAGATGACTTTCTGAAGAGAAGCACTGAGAGTCAGTCTCTACTTTGCTATTCCACCCTCCCAGAGAAGTCACTGGGAGCATCGGGTTGGTCTGAAAACTGAGCACTTCCCACCCTCCCAGCCAACAATCCCTGAGACTTCACTGGAGATCAAATTGCCGCCCATTCTCAGTGAAAGAACATTTTTAGTATCTCCATAGAACTAAATTTATGCAGTATAGAATCTGATCTCTTCTGGCATTCCAATCACTCTTTCTCCATTATTGTGACCAGTGTCAGGTAGGTGGATGCCCAGGACAGTACAGCCTCTGTCTGGGAATACTGGCATTCCAGAAGCATGGCTCCCACCACCTGAGCTAACCAGCCACATGAAAGAGAAATGAAAAACTTCCACTGCTGTATATAATTCTTGCCTTCCTCTATTAGATGGTAACAAGAGTTGACGTCGGGGTGGTATGTGTCTTTGAATACCTGAATTGGCATAATAAGGAGTTGACAATCCTCCTGAAGTTTCCTAGAGTGATGTGTGCATGAATGCTCATATAGTATTGTATTTAATCCTCTAAACTACTGTATAATGTAGACTTGACTTACCTGTATAGAATTCCATGTCTAGGAGCTACAGATCTGATATTTTCCCAATGACATGAGACCTAGCAACACTTGGAGACTGACAAGTCATACACGGGTGAACAACTTTCTGGAGAGGCATCAGGAGAAGAGAAGTCACCCAGCTCTGCCACTTTCTTCTTGGCTTATTTACTTTTCTGAAATGGGTGGGCCACCTCCTTTCCACCATGACATCATCATGGAAATAGCAGTTAACGCTGACTGGTTGGGCACTGCCCAGAGTGCCGGCCTGCATTATCAGCTTTACCTCTCACCATGACTATAGGAGGGGATGAGTATCCCTGCTATGGGGAAAAGGAAATCAACAGGAAGTAAGGGAAGGAAATGACTCATAATTGCAGAGCTAGGGACTGGTGTGGCTGGTATGTGAGCCCAGGTCTGCCTGAAACCAGAGCATGTATCCATGACCACTGTGCTTCCGCAGATTGCGTAACTATGTAGAAGCAAACGGGTATGAAAAGCATACTTAGTACCACAAACTGTGCAGCTCTTTTTGACTTGGGTGGCTAGCTCGGGTGTCAGGGACTCATGATTTGGGGATGCCAACATCTCCACTTAGGATTTAGTAGAACTTAGATTTTTCACTCCCAGTAACTAATACAGTTGGGTTAGAGTGGCAGTATAGAGTGATTGTGACTGACTCAGAAAATCTATCTCAACCACATGCTAGGTTCTCAAAGTACACACTGCATGGCCAAAGACAACTAATTGTCTCATTTCTCCAATACGTCCCCATGTCTATCCTGCACATGAAAAGGCACGATGTACCTGGATTTTCTGGGCATTTATCATTTCATCAACTTCTCCACACTGCATTCTAATCAAGGAAGTTACTAAAATTACTCTAAGAGTGCAAGAACTGGATCAGGTGCCGCTAAAATGGAGCCTCTTATTTGTCAGAAGCCCTTAGTCCTGCTTTTACCTTCATTTCTTCTCACTTTGCTCCTCCAACTGCAAGAGTCACCACCACGAAGTGCACAGGGTTAGACGACCATGCTATGGAAGCTACAACTGCCCTTGCCTGCAAAACGGAGTCTAAAGTGGACTTAGTCAATCAATACAGTGAGCCATGTTGCATACTGCTCCAATTTAGCAAACCACTCAGTCAGTTCTGGACACGACTTGAGTCCCACATTGTAACACAAGGAAATAGACTTGGCTTCTGCCGCCCTGGAATCAGTCTCAGCCTGCTGTTGATCCAAAGCAAGAGAACAGTATATTCTCATCTGCACAACCTTCATGGGTGTCTATCTACGGTTTGGTTCAGGTCCAGGCGAAAACTTGAATTAAAGGTTGAGATTGATGACTCAGAACTTAGCTAGCAATGCAGATGAGAAAATGGAACTACAAACTCGGAAGAAACTATGTCTGAGGGTGAGATAGAGAGATGGAAAAGCCAGATGCTCAGACCCTTGCCCCACTACATCCGCCCCAGAAGCTCCCATCAAGGTTGGTGCTGTGGGCAGCAGAGGGCACTATTAATACGTTCTGAAGTAAACAGCACACTTGAAGGGGAAACACAGGTTTAAAATACGTTTGTGTACGGCATCTGGTGGGGGACAGGTCATAGGATTGCACTTATCACCTTTACCCTCCCTTATTCTTGGGCTGAAATATTATCAGGACTCTCAAGTGAGGCTACAGGATGAAAGTGTTTCTTGCATAGAATCTCAAGTTCTAAGAACCTAAATATATTCAAACACATGTGACATATAGTCCAATGTCATGGCGCTAACTGCTTTACAAGCATTATTTTACTTCATTTTCAGCTCCCTGTAAGTTAGTTAAACATGAGGAAATGGATGACCAGAGAGGTCAAGGGACTTGTCTCAGGTTGGCATCAAAAAGCAACAGGGCTGAGACCTTCATACAGCAAAGCCCACGCTCTGCAACCCTCAGGCCACGTGTCATCACAGACATTCCTCCAGTAATGGGAGATGGGAACATCAATTCTTTAACCTGGTCCAACAGGAATGGAAGTTGTTGTAAATTAGTGTTGCTACACTTATGCTACAGAAATTGTAAGGATGCTGCCACCCTGCTGTAGCCTGTCTTCCTCCTGCAGCCAGTTCCTGACCTTGTCCTGGCAGGAGTTCTACGGAAAGTGGATGATTCTGTTGGAGGTTCAACAGCCTCAAGTCCTGAAAACATGTCTGTGGTCCCAGGGTTTTAATCTCAATGCCAACATAAAAATTCTATGCCAGTTAGGGGTCTAAGGGCACAAGCCACAGGAACTAAGCCAGGCCACGCTGAGCACATCAAGGGAATGTATTTGAAGGAAGCTGAAGAGAGAAACAAGGAAAGCCAGGTAACCGTAACAGCCAATCCTGGTGGACACAGCCTTTGAAGAATTTTCATGCCACCGCCCTCAGGTGTGCCAGGCCCAGCTGGGACACTACATGGGCTGCAAGGGCAGGTGGGGCAGTACATTTTGGTGGGTGGTCCACAGGGGCTTACAAATGGTAGAAGAGACATTTCCCGAAATAAATGCAGGAGCTGTTTCCAGAAGAAGGGAGGAAGAGAAAATGGTCAGCCAGCTACACTGATTGCAGCCCACAGCAGGCATCTGAAGAGGTGCCTTTCTACCTCCCCAGGAAGCTATACAGTCAGGGCTTCATTCTCGATCCATCTCTCTAGAAGATCTGGCACAGAGTGGGATGTACCTGTCGTAAATTCTCAGTAACTGCTAACCATGCACATTAATAAAAATAAACTAGTGACTCAATGAGATACAAAAGGAATCAGGAACGGCAGTAGAATGCACAGGTGGCTTCCGTTCTAGAAAGGCCATCAATGTGGACTTAAAACCCTAGTGCTCCAAAGTGGTGTACTCTAAAACTCCTACAGCACTTTGGACCCTCCCTGAAGCACTTCTCTGGGCAATGTTGCTCATCGTGTTCCCATGAGGCATTCTGAGAGGGATACAGAGGCCATTCGTCTTGGAACTCTCAGGGTCTGCAGTGCGTTACAATCCTCAAGTTCAATTCTTTTCCTAGGGATGACAAATACAAGGGGTGTGTGTGCTTCCACCCTCTGCACTCCCCATGTCCTGGACAGACCTTGCTAATGGATCATGACACTCTTCCCATTGAGGCCAGTCAGCGACAATCCATCAGAGTGGGTCCACAAGGCAAAACCCACTCATTATTCTCGACTCAAGACATTTGGGACCACTGCTCTGGCATCACCGGCAAGCGATGACCCAGCTCATGCCTGACCAGCTCCATAGATGGGAAACACATTCTCATCCAGACAGACATTCCATCTCGGGGACTCTGTTAGAAAAGCTTTCTTAGGGACATTTCTGGGTGAACACAGAAACAGAACACCTGTGCCTGCTATGAGTGGATCTTTCCAAATTTTATGAAAATTCTTCTAAAGATAAAAACAACAGACTGCAGCTGGCCTTTGCAGGAAAAAATGACAAAAATCCAAAGTGAATTTTTATTAACTGCATTAAGGATACGGATCAATAGAAAAGCATATTTTTGAAATACACACCATATGTCCCACCCTTTAATTGATACCAGTATAAATACCTCTAATGAAAGTAGGAAACATACTAGCCCCTTACTCCAATAAATTTCACTTTGTGCTTTGATTCCTATACTGTCCAGAAAAAAAATGGAGGTCATCTCCCAGGAACATCTTTGTGAGACACCCAGAACAAGCGTTCCAGACAGCCCCTTCTTTCCCCATCACTGGCTCCTCTTTATCTCCCCCTAACCCCATTTTAAGACAATGAAATCAAGAATGCTGTGGGATGCCTCAGGTCTGGTTCTAAGATACTTGTCTACTCAAGGAAAGACCCTATTGGTAGCTATGTGATCTCTCTTGCCTAGTAGGTACAAAGAAGAGCTGCAAATAAGGACCTAAGGAGCCAAGTAGGGGTCAGAGAGACCCCTCCCTCACCCTGCTAAGGCTGTACTCATGAGTGACCTGCCTATGGAGCACGTAAAGTGAGCTGCTGCACCTGCACAGCACTGAGGTCTCGTCAGAAAGAAGCCTTAGGGTGTACAGCTCTGTGTCTTGACAGCTGCCTTAGGTCTGACTGGCCTAGCTTGGACCCTGCATGGGGTGAGAGGACAGGGGACACCCTTACCCTCCAAGGATGTGCAAGCAGGATACATCAATGCTATACCTGGAGCAGAAACCACTGACAAAATAACTTGATAGGTAATTACACTGAGGAATGACTAAATGAATAAGGTCGAAATGAAAACTTAAGGGGATAATGAGCATTACAACAAAGAACAACACATCTATCAAAATTATATTCTTTTTAAAAGAGTTACATGTTTATTTGAAAGGCAGAGTGATAGAGACAGAGGGA